TCCGTATCTTTTCCTCCCGTTTCCTACAAATTCCTGAATCTGATATGAATGTCTTCCTTTGGTCTCCTTGTTCCACACCTGTTGCCATTTTTTATATATTTCGACTGCAATCATTCTTTTAAATTCTGTTTTACTTAATGCTAATTTAATTTCTATTTGCTCATTATTTAAAGCTTTTTTTGCTAGCATATCAGCTTCCTCATTCCCATCTACACCCACATGTGCCGGTACCCAGAGAAATGAAACCATTATTGCACCAAAACACTAGCAAACAATACAGCAATTATACAGCATCAATCAATCAATCAATCAATCAATCAATCAATCAATCAATCAATCAATAAATAAATAAATCAATAAATAAATAAATCTCAGCCAGACTAATGGAATAAGAAACAAAACAAAATTAAATGTAAAGGGAAAGAGATAAAAAATATAACAAAAAAATTATTACAGAGACATTATTAACCTAAGGAAGGGGGGCCTTATTTTGTCTTCTGTTGGCCAAATCTAGAGAAATATAACCTTTCCAGCTTGAGGGCAGATACCATTTCAGCTGGAGGTGTCGGGGATTTCCATTAAGATCCCATATTGGCCAGCACCATGCCAAGCATAAGGGAGAGTTGTTGATGTTTACGTCAAGTTGAAGTCTGGTCTGAACAGCTAATTCCACTTCATATTTAGCCAATTGGCATTTCTGTGTGGACTTAACATGTTCTCCCTGTGTTAGCCTGGGTTTCCTCAGGGTCCAGGTGTCCAGCAAAGTTAAGCTCCCAATTTGCTTCAACATACCTGCTAGGAAGTTTCTAGTATATCAAGAAAGGGCTTGATTAGCTGATTCAGGTGTGTTTGATTAGGGATGGAGCTAAACTCTCCAGGATACCGGCCCTCTTGGACTGAGTTTGGACACCCCTGTTCTGGGTGCTCCGGTTTTTCCCCCACAGTCCAAACATATGCACTATATGTGAATTAAATAAACTAAATTGGCCGTAGTGTACGAGTGTGTGTAAATGAGTGTGTATGGATGTTTCGTAGTACTGGGTTGCAGCTGGAAGGGCATCCGCTGTGTAAAACTTATGCTGGATAAGTTGGCGATTCATTCGATAAGTGGCGACCACTGATGAATAAAAAGACTAAGCCAAAGGAAACTGAATATTACTAGATAATGAAAGTTATTTTATATAAAACTAACTTATAAATGTATATTAAAATGTGTCTACTCCATACAAAACATTTCCAAAAGTTAAGATTTTTACCAACAAGCTATTTTTTTCAGCAAACTCACTGTCTTGTTGTAAGTTTATTTGTTATTTTCTTTAAATATGTATATCACTTGATTTGTTGTAATCTGGTGTAATAATCCTAAACAAAAATGTATTCGTTTGAAATGCTGTGTGAACGCAAAGAGGGACTTTTATTTTGGCAGGCGAGCCGATCTGTCTGTCTAGGTTTCACCATCACATCTTCATCACATTTGGACATTTATCATCACTGTTTTCCGTCGCTCCTGCCCCTGTCATCGTCTGTTTTTCGATCCAGGATAATTATCCATATCTTCACCGTCGTCTGATCCACTATTTGCGTCTCGGCATCAGGTAAATATCGACAAAACACCATAAACACAAACATCACTGAAAACAATGTTAGCTCGACCGCTAGCCAGTTAGCAAGTTCCAGCAGAGGAGGAAAAAAAGTGGGTTAACTTTTGTTTAAAGACATTACATTTCGAGCTACTTGATGATTTAGCTATGTAATCGAGGTTATTGATCATAATCGGTGAGTTACGGATGATGTTGTGTTGTTAAATGTGATTGATGTGCTCGGTGGTGCTAACGTTAACAGGCTATCTGAGATCGAGAACTGCCCATCAAGAGTAAGAAACACTATTTTGTCAGTAAAATGATTCAGATGTATAGAATGTACATTTCATTTGAGCCAAAATACAGATATGTAGTTGAATATTTTGGGAAGTCAGATGAGTTATGTGTGTTTTTGCAGTTTGTTGAACGTTAGGTGTGGAGAGATACGTGACTGTCTGAATTATATAATCTCATACATCTTTTCCTAAAACTCTTTGATTTGACTCACGAATTATTTTAATAATCGAAAGATTTGAATTGTTAATGGATTGCTATGTTTTGTAAGTTATGCTTGAGTATAGATGTATGTGTAACGTTATTAAGTACACTATTCCTTTGAACAGGAAAGTGTAGTTAGTTTGTAATGGGATTTTGACCTGTACGTCGTGCAGCGAGTTTCAACTGTTATAGGGCGTACAATGTGATTTTGTAAACTAAAACAATGTTTTTACCTTATAGAAATGGACGTCGACGGCTCGACGACTTGTCCATTTGACAAGCAGGTAAAGTGATTTTGATTGTATACCTTAATAATACCTATACTTTGTGTGTGTTACTAATACATTTGTATAAAATATTGTGCCTTTTCAGTATCTCTGTATTAATATACGTTTTCCTATTCATTCTCCATGCACGTAGGCTTGCTCAAATAAGGCTTGCCATGTTTGAAACTGTACGCAACAGTGTGATGATCCGTAACAGCGAAATGCATCTATAAAAAGCCTTTCGTTACATTATTTCAGTGCTTTTACTTTTATTACAGTAGTTTGACATTGATATTATCAAAGGAACGAAAGGCGTTAGTGTTTTTTTATGCTAACGTTACCTTATTAGCAATGGCTAGCAATGGCTAACTCAATTCATTAGACATTGATTTAGTTAGATTCAATAAAAGAAGTAGTTCTCACATTTTTTTATAAGAGGTTTAATTTGTCAAACGTATTTTCGATCTCTTTTTGGCTGTTTGTAGTCAGTCAGCAGGCACCGAGTTGGTAAAACTAACGTTAGCTTTTTAGCTTTCGATCACATTATTAAATAACGTTGCGTTTTTTTTACAGCAGACGTGTGGTTTGTTTTGTTCATATAAACGACGTTTCGATATAACGAGCGACTTTACAAACGTGCATAATGTCTAACTGATTGGTGGCGACGAAGCGTTTGTCGTTTACTTGTTGTCATTATTGTTATGCCGAATATTTGCAAATTTGACAAATCTAGACGCACGTCAAGCGACTGCGCATGCGCGCACATTGCTTTACTTCAAGTCCCACCTCTGGTTTAGGAAAGTAAAACAATGCCGTTTTAACTATTACTACTTATATACGATTTTTATTTACCTTAAAAATTGTACAATGATTAATAACCGTCTAAGTTTTAGTGCTGCTTTGGTTCGGGATTTTCTTCTCCATGGGGTTTGAAAATATGGAGGACGAAACCTGCAAAAACAATCAATAAATATACAAATAAATGCTCAAAGTCCAAAAATTTCTGCACAAATAAAACCATAAAAATGTATGTATACAAAAAACGAAAATAAATATTATATATACAAAAATCTACAAAGTCCTGTATAAATAAATATATAAATAATTATAGTGTAGGCTTATAAATAATTAAATAAATTGCAGGAATGTTGGGGAAATAATAAAATACTAAATTGAAAGTTGATTTATATATATATATATATATATATATATATATATATATATATATATATATATATATATATATATATATATATATATATATATATATATATATATATATATATATATATATATATAGATATATATCTATATACACAAACACGAAATAAAGATATATATATATATATATATATATATATATATATATATATATATATATATATATATATATATATATATATATATATATATATATATATATTTATGCACAACACGCTTACCTTGAGGCGGATTGGCAACAGCAGCAGAAGACCACTCCTGTCAGCTAAGAACAGGAAACTGAGGCTACAATTCAGAAAGACTCACCAACATTAGACAACAGAAGATTGTAAAAAGTGTTGCCTGGTCTGATGAGTCTGGCTTCAACAGCATGAATGCATGGATAAATCCTGCCTTGTGTCAACGATTTATCTTATTTGCTCAAAAGTCTTTTAGAAAAAGGGAAAAAAACTGTGTGAGACTGATGACAGCAGCCAGAAGAGAGACC